CTAGGGATTTGGAGTGCTGTGTTACACCTACGGGTGATGCAGTCATTTATTTGAAATCTCCCTTGGCTCCGTAAGGTTTGAATACACAAGGAACAATTACGAGAAATTGTCTGTGATCTCTTTGACTAGAATATACATGTATTAATACTATTTAATATTAAAATGTGGACAAAAGGATTGAATAAATGCTCATACTCTGCTTGCTTTTTAATACTTAAGCGCAAATATGCTCAAGTAGAAAGAAAAAAAACTTCTCACCAGGAATGAGAAATGTGTTTCTGCATGTGTGTTTTCACACAAAGGATGTTGTGGGTGACTCCGTAAAGTGCAATGCACGATGCAGTTTGTCTTTGGTGACCTTAAAAACATAATCTAGAGAAAGTACATTGCCAATGAAAGATGTGAAAACGCATGATAAAATAATCTTAGTTAAATTTAGCAGATACCGTTTAGGGAGGTACTGTTTGCAAGCGTTTTAGCAGCTGCAGATGAGCTTTACCTGTGATTCTTTTCGTACCATTTAATCAGAAGGATTTAAATCATTCCATTCATAATTTTTGTTGATATTTTTGGTCTAGAGCCTAGACAGATACAGTTATTTTGGTGAAAATCTGAATGGAAAATAGCGAATTCCATTCTCATATTTACTTTACAAGGAGGCTGTAATTAACGCTATTTAATAGAGCCCTTCACCATGGTCTGCACTTAAACGTGTGCCCGAGCCTACTCACACAGTGCAGCTCCTCAGCACAGAAGTGATTTCTGGGATGGAAAATCCATCCGTCTCAGGGATGGAGCTTAGGCTGCCCTTTCCGTCCTTTGCTGCGGGGTTCCACACGCAGACCAGAGCTTTCGCTTCACTACGAGCAATATCTTGTCCTAGTTTGATTTTTCTTTTTCTTTTTTTTTAAAGGCATCTCTAATTAACATTTGCTTGTCATATAATCAAATGAGCATTTCTGAAACAGTCGGCTGCATCGAAGCATTTCTCAAGATTTCCCTGATTACTCACAGCTTTTTCAATACATCCATAAGTATGAATGTGATCATTCACACTGCATATGGCAATATCGAACGACCCCAGTTGGACTTTCCTGAACTTCTGTACGTGACACAACAGTGTTGCTTTAATAGGGTTTTTCGTGGGGGTGGTTGGTTTTTTTTTTTAACCTTAGAGGTGTGATGCTAATTAGCAGCATGTGTGCATGTCAGGTATTGTGGGCACAATTATGACATCTGCCCATTTAGGACGGCTGGCAGATGCTTTAGCAAAGATTATAGGATGCCACACCATGATCAGCTTCTATTGTAACGTTATATTGTATACGTTATAGCTGTCAAATGTATATTCCACAAGACTTCGATTTCACAAGACTTAATTACAGAGGTTTAAACTTTGGTGTGATATTAGCAGAGCACTTATTGCTATTACTTGGTGTCTTACGGATTTCAAAAATCATTTGTTAATGAAACTAGGAGACTTAGTTTTTGTCTTTGCTGAAAAAGTTAACATAATTTGAAGAACAAGCTATGTATGGCCATAGTAGTTGTCTTAGTGTAAGATTATGTTGTTACATTAAAAGATTACATTTATTCTTTGATATATGAGCCACCTCTGTACTAAATTTTGAAAGTAACCAAAAAAAAATTTCTCCTGTGGCATGTTCATCAAAGCGTACAGGTAAGTGAAAATGTTACTTTAGACTCATCCAGGTCAGCCAGCTAGCTGATTACTGCATGCTCCAGTTTCACAGTGGTGGAGACACGCAGCAGTATACGTATGATATAGTCAGGGTAAAAATAATAGGTTGATATGACAGCAAATACATTTTTAAGAGAAGAAATACATCCGCATTATTATCTGCAGATTGCACAGCATAGCTGTGGCAGCGTGCAATTCAGTCGGGTACTGGGGATGCTGCATTTTACAAGGGAGAAGTTGTAAATCTAAGTGACTCTCTGATATATTCTGTTCCAACCCATTGCTCTTACAAAGTCAGGAGAAGAAAGACATGGAAACACATCTAACTTAGAGCCTTGTACTGGGGTGATACTTTACCAGTTACAGGAGTCTCCCATCGGATTGTTTTTGAGGCCACCAACTTTATCGGCGTTTGCTGTAGTTGCAACAGATAAAATGTAACCCGTGCAAACAACATTAAATGGCAGGTGAAAATATCCACAGCACTTTTTGCCATTTTTGCAAGGTACAAAAAATGTTTTCTGATGTTTGATTTGGACCATGACACGTTGGTAGGATTGGAATAGAGACCCCCCCAAATCTACCCTAGCATCTAACAGTAGCAAAATTTCTCCCCTTCAATTCTGGCATGAACAATTCATTACCTAGACAGCAATTAACTACCTGGACCATCTGGCAGGAGAATAAATGGTGCAGACACTATTTCTCAGCTGTGAGGTGAAGATAGTCTAAGGTTTCTGTTCCGTTATGTGAGGAATGGAGTGGTAACGAAAGGAAGGCAGCGGAGCTTCTGGCTCAGATGTGCCCCGGAGGCCATCAGGAGAGGACGGGAAGGGGCTGCTCCCACTGCCGCGAGGGTACTTGCAGCATTGCTCTGCCTACCTCTGGCTGATGGGTGTTCACACGTGCCGATGAGCACTCGGTACAGCTCTTCCAGGAGTTATCACTCTCTGACTGTTTATCCTCACAAGTAGAATCATAGAATCATAGAGGTTGGAAGAGACCTCCAAGATCATCAAGTCCAACCGTCAACCCAACACCCCCATGCCCACTAAACCATGTCCCTAAGCGCCTCATCTACCCGTCTTTTAAATACTTCCAGGGATGGGGACTCCACCACTTCCCTGG